GAATCGCCTACATTTCAATACCTCAACCATGTTCGTACCTACCCGACATTCACCTTTGGAGGATCTGTGGGATCTCGCGTGGCCACAGTGTCATTTCTTAGGAACTGATTATGTGTTAGCTTGTCACCTCGGATTGAAGTCATTTTTTAATGTTAGACACATCTATGGATTTGCAGTGTTTGAGCCTACCACTGTTTGCCTCCCAATAGCCAACGCTTCTTTTTTCTTTTGGCTTGGAAACCACTAGACTGTGTTCTTGTTATATCTTCGAACTGTTTTTCAGACTTTTTAGCTTCTGCTTAGGGAACTGATGTAATTACTGTGGGGAGTAAAAGTGGAGAATTGCTGAATTGCAGCTTTTTGTCAATGGGATATTGAGAATCAATGCCTTCCTCAGGATTTTAACATACAACTATGAACTATATTCCAAACTACATGAATCAACCCAACCTGCCAATCACGCTATATGCGAATTTGACTTACTGATATTATTTTGCTTATGGAATCATTACTAAATTATTGTCTTTAAATATCAATGTACTTCAGTGTTAATTGGTTTATTATTGTGTTGTCTTGAAGAGAGGGAAGCCTCAATGTACATATAATTGTAAAATAACTATGTTGCTTTGGTATTACACAAAAAAGGAGTTACAAATTGCTGAAGGTGATTCAGTGTTTATTAGAAAACGTCATCTGTAAGTTCCAAGTCGTTTGGGTTTAATAGATCTTTTTTTTTTTTAATTCAAGTTTTTAACCTATACTTCTTTCTTTCATCAATTTGACTCAGATTTCATTTACTCATCACAAATGAAAATGAGGATGAGAAATCATTCTCCACACATTCTCGTTTGGAGAATGATTATTGACTAGTAAGTCTCGAGTCAAATCGATTTTGAAAATGACATCCATTTAAAAATAAAAATAAAAGAAATTTGATTTAGATTATGAACCTGTGGATTTTCCTTTCTTTTTTTTGTCTCTAAATACATTTTTTCTATTATTTATATGATTGGTAACAAAAAAAAAACAAAATTAAAAAAATAACCTTAAAAATAGTCCGTCCTTTTCAAAAGTACCACTAACCTTTCAAAAGTTTCATTAATACCATTGTAAATGATCATCAATCACAATATCAATGACAATATGAAATAGATTAATGTCCAATATCATTCTCCGCACGATAGATATTCTTAGTGTAAGCACAAGAACAGATCCCGACCCGAGCAATTGTATTCTAATAAACAAAAGAAGATTGCTCATACCTAAACAGGCATTCAACAGGAGTGAGATACAACAAAACAACTGCAACAAGCACAAGTAGCAGCAGTAGTTGTTCAGTCATTCGAAGTTGCCTATTCATTCGGAGCAGTTCCTCCATCTGCATGAATAAATACATATCGATATCATAACAGTACATTAGAGTTGTCAGAGAATGAACAAACAATTTCTCCTTTCTTGGGTTAAAAAATAAGTTTGGTATCTGAAATTTCAAGATTATACATGTGGTGTTTTTTTTTTTACTTAATTGAGGTTGATTCTTTTGAGCTAAGTTTCAATGGTAGAGCATACCTTCGCCATCGGATGGAGCATAAGGAGACTTCCTGTATCGTGTTTGCTGTTGTGTTGGCTATGCGCAAGAGAAAAGAAAAATTGCAATCACATAAAGTCCTTCTACTTGATGATAGAACAATAAAAGAAGAAAGGCAATAAATGAAATTACAAGACTAACAAATCATTTCATGATATTGCATGGATATCTTGTCATAGTAAGAAGTAATCCTTGAATTTGAGCAAAAATAGTAGCAGATATGGTAATGGCAGCACCATCCTTCTCAAGATTAAGTCATGTCTATTATTTATTTTCAACCTTTTCAATCGTAATGACTCAAACTCAAACTTATGACTTGTGAGATCTTACATCGGTTGGAGAGGGGACAAAGTATTCCTTATAAGGGTATGGGTCCCTAACAAACGCGTTTTAAAACCTTGAGGGAAAATCTAGAAGGGAACCCAAAAATGACAATATCTAATGACGGTGAGCTTGTTACAAAAGGTATCAGAGCCAGACACCGAGTCACCCCAGCGAGGACGTTGGGCCCCCAAGGGGAGTGGATTGTGAGATCCCACATTAGTCAGAGAGGGGAACGAAACATTCCTTATATGGGTGTGGAAACCTCTTCCTAACCGACGCATTTTAAAACCTTGAAGGGAAAGCCGGAAGGAAAAGACCAAAGAAGACAATATAGGCTAGCGGTGAGTTTTGGTTGTTACATGACTTCTCGGAAAGCTTTTATTTTTGTAGAAAACCTCTTCAGTGCCACTGTACTTGATTGGTTCATGTAATTTGAAACTTATTTTATTTTAGTACTTGTACTTTCAAATGTCCAAATTCATTCCCAATATTTTTTTTTTCTCATCTGTCTCTCTTTATGTATGCTTTCTCACACTAACTTCTCTAATTTATCCCTTGTTTACACATTGTCTTACATATTTTTTTAAATATATACATTCTTTCACCCACACGTTTCTCTCCCTAGTTTATCTTTGCATACTATCTTTCTTTCTTTTTTTTTGGTTAATCTCCTTGTACAGACATTTCACTTTTTACGTTGCAGCTTTCTTCCAATAAATTACAATGTTGTTCCTATTGTAATTATTAACAGATGGAGATTAAGATGAAATAACTAGACACTAAAATTAGAAACCTGAAAATAAAATGGAAACTAAGTTGTTATGCCTAAATACTTCATTCTCAAGAGGTCAAGATCTAAATTTTGAGATGGACAACCACTCTGTTCAGCACATGAGTTATTACTTGATCTCTACCCTAAAATGATATCAAAAGTTTTCTACTTGAAATGAATATCATATGCATAATATAATGAGGAGTTTCATTTCCTGTTAATATATATATCTGCACGCACGCGCACACACCAACCTGTAATTTTGGCCGAAGAGCTTGTAAAGGTCCTTTAGGCTTCTCAACTCCTTGCTGCAATCAGATAAATTAAGGAGGATATATTAGTCAATTAGTGAAGTTATGCGAACTGATTTCAGAATCAAGTAAAAATGGAAATATAAGTTATACAACAGAAATACCTTTCCCAATGCCCAATCAGCAGAATCAAAATACGCACGTTCATGATCCTGAAATCGAGATTCAAAAGCTTCAGACACCCATGTGGAAGTATGCACGGATCTCATTGAACACCTTACTGAAATACTACATAATTTTTTAGAACAGAAAAATTACCTTAGAAATGAGAGGTGGCTTCTTGGGAACAATTCCTCCATATTTTTTCTTTATAACTTCCTCCTGTAGAGAAAATAAGCTACCAACTTCAACAAATTGGTAAATTTGTAACAAAATTTAGAGGTTATTACAGATGATTCTTATGTATGAAGTTATAAACCTCCTTCCGGGACGACGGCATAGATTCTTCAGATCCAACATGTCCATCTCCATCCAGCCGTTCAGTCTCTTTGATATGCTCAGACATGATTAACTAGTAAAGCTCAATCAAGCAGCAACTCCAATAATTATAAAATTGCAGCCTGCAGGGTAAAATTCAAGGAAACATTAGTTCTACGTCGGGGGCCAATGAACTGGCAGCGTCGTTCACTAGTTATCTTCGAGAAATTTAAAGATCAATCCAAGAGCGAGCTGCAATTTATAGATGGGCGTAGCCAACCCTCCAACATTATGCCAGAGCTCTTAGTAGACAGACAGAAATCAGAGATTAAACATGAGAATATTTCATCAATGGAAAGCATAAGATCCAATATCAGAAACAGGAAGTTCCACCACTCAACCTATGCCCTCATACACAAAGAGCTTTAAAAGAAGAGCTAAAGATAATAAGGAAGGATCAAGAACTACAGTGTTCACTCCCCACTCCATGGATCCATGTTTCCACCCACCAAACCACCATGTTTAATCCTGAATAATACCTAATTAACTTTAGAACTAAGAAGAACAAAATCTTCTTACTGTCTCTATAAGATTGAACATCACACAAACAATTCATCTTTATAATGCCCAAGCACCAACTCGGCATACAGCTAAACCAGACACAATCGATACCAATGACCACAAACCCCCACCGACAAACATACGCCATATTCGATTTCAGAGATCACACAGGCTTTTCTAATTCCACAAATTTATCGATTGAATTACACAGCAATCAGAAATGAATCTACAAATCAAACTATCGACCAGATGGGAAAAGAAAAAGAAAACGAGCGAAACAGATAGAGAAGCATCAGGTACAGAGAAAGTAGAAGAACACGAAGCTTACGGTGGCGCGTATCGCAATGGAGAGGGAGGAGGAGGATTGGTATAATAATGATAATAACAATACCTTTGAAGCTGCAAAAATGGCGATGGGCGAAGTGGGATGAAGACGATGAATTTGAGTCTGGATCTGATCTGCTCGAAGAACGACAGATCCAAATTATTTTGTTTGTTTGTTTGAAAATCTTTCTATTGCTGAAAGTAAACGGCAATTTCACATGTACATTTGTGGCCTACTTTGAACCAAACAGTGAATTTGACTTCTTTTTTTTTTCTCTTTTCTTACAAAAAAAAAAAAAAAAAAAAAAAAAAAAATTGATATGATTTTTTAAAGTTAAAGACACATCAATCTTTAGAATATGAACGTAAAAAAGAATAAGTTCGTTATTCATTTAGAGTATGAACATCGAAAAGAATAAGTTCATTACTCGAATGGACTAATACCATCTCTTGATGCATATTTATTTTTACTTTTTTTTTTACATTCAAACTATTTTGGTCGGTGAAAGAACAATGCGGAGATTTTTACAGTTTAATGGATAAATATTTCAAAAGGCGAAGATTTTTATAGACGAATGGATAAACGTTTCAAAAAATTATTATGAGTTCATCGACGTATGAAGGTGGAGATTTAAACTTCCCGACAATTTAGTAATTTAGTTTGAGATATAATTACTTAACTTAAGTTGTTATTGTAAGAACATAATTTAATTACAACTATCTTATAATTTCAAGAGCCAATATGAAAGCAATACTGATTTCCCTTCCTAACCATTACACACTTCATACATTAAAGAGTAGTGAGTGAAGTGAGCCAACGATTCCATTGCATGAAAAGTTTGATTTTAACCAAAGAAGTTTCAGCTGCCTCCCCACAGATGATGAACTTCACTGCAGAAAATAACTGGGTCGTGGTTGTGGTCGTGGTTGTGGTCGAGTCTCGATGCAAGGACCATGAATGGCGTTGATGACCTTCTATGCATTACATCCAACCAGTTTCCATCTCGTCGTTGTGCTTACGTCGGTTCCGTCGTATTAGAGACGAGGTGAATGTACTGCTATCTCACGTGGATGAAGTGCGACTGAGCATGGTTTGTCGAGTCATTTTCGTCCTCTGGTGTCGCAAGGTGAAGACGGGGATCCTACCAAAAGCATACTAGTATACTCAAACGTCGTATCAAGGGAATGTAAACAACTGCTAGACATCAAGCTCAAAGAGAATAGGTAACCAGAGCAAATTTTCAGGAATGTGCACTGTCTACCGTATGTTCATCATGGTTGGTAACAATACAATCATCGCCGATCGAAGATATATGCTTTAATTAGTTGAGTTACGTTTAAGTTGATCATGGATGTCCTTATATGCACTTCGACTACATATGTGACACCATATAACAGAATAGCCCAACAAAATTCATATCTATTCTGTATCCACCTGTTCGAAAATCCAAGCAGTTCTTACGACGAAATGAATAATCCAGACATCCTCACTAACCTGATAATGACGCCGTCCTTGAATGGAAGTAAATGCTCTAACCATGACATAGATTGGTAGAAGGATTCCAACAATTCTCAAGATCAGCAGCTGAAACATACAGCACATGAACTTATGGTTCTTCATTGGTCTCAACAATGGAAGAGGGCCAAAGGAAGGAGAAGTAGAAGGGGAAACAGAGAAAACGAGCCTACCATTAACAATGTCAATGAATACTCTCCAGCTCCACTGATTACAATTGGTAGCGTATGGCGCAAAACGAGAAGAACGATAAACTGCAACATACAGATACGATTAGAAGTTTCAAACTCGGGATTGTTGGTCAAATATGAGCAAGGCGAACACAGGTTTAAATCATATTATAGATATGAACTTTGATGCTCGTTTCATTTTCATTCTTAAGCTTCAAAACGTTATATTTTAATCCATCGACTTCTAATACTCTATTTCGTCTTCGAAACTTACATTACATGACTACTTAAATTCTTTTCGTTTAAATTCTTTTCGTTGATGCTTGAAGACCCAATACTTAACTTACTAATCGTGAATCAAACACTTGTTCATGCAGAAGAATGAATGTTCAAAGTCTTAATAGAAAGTTCAAAGACTAAAATAAAATCTTATAAGAACGAATGCTCGAACTTAAACCAAAAACTATGTTTGCTTTGCTCCCTTCACAAGTGAATGAAAAAGAATCAACGAGCAAGAACATTTAGTACTTTTTTTATGTGCAGAAGGCAAAGCCAATTATCAATCCATTTAAATTTGTTTACAGAGATAAGGAAACTGGAAATGAAGTAAAATGAAGAGGTAGGGAATACAGTTACTGCAACCATGCGGCAGCACAATATGCTTCTTGGAGAAGGAGTGAAGAATTCATCAAAGTCAGAATCAGGATACTCGTGATCAGGCATTCCTGCAGGTACATGCAGGTTCAGTCTAGACATCTCCCAACTTTCCCTAAGAACACAATTCGACGACAGCGATGTTATATTAATCGTGTCGAAAAAATAAACGAACAATAAGTGAATATACAATGCAAACTAGAGAAACTTGCATTGTGGGAAGAGAGGTAAATGGTTTACCTGAAATGAACTGGTGAAGTAATATCTCCATAATATAATACAGGGAGTGGTGCTGTATACCCTGGCTCAAAGTCCTGCAGTATAAGAAAAACGACTTCTTACAACCATAAAGTTAGTCATGTATTAAAGAAATTTTCATTTATTTGAACAAAAACAACAGACCTGGTGGCAAATTTCACAGATTGTATTGCCTTTCTCGTTGCACCACCGCTGAACGCACATGCGATGAGCATACTGCAATTATCAACACTAACTGGAAGCTAATTATCAAGGTGAACCATCTAAACGAACACAGTGAGGAATAAAGATATGAATCTGATTCTAACATTTTCAGTCTAGCAACAAGTAAATATAAACTAAGGGACCTGACTTAGCAAGTGTTTATAGCATATTATAACATCCTGGGGAAAGAGTTGGGGAAAAAGTTAAAGTTGGACCAAAACTAAATGCAGAAAATATCGATACGAACATTGTTGAAACCAGTTTAGTCAGTCATAATTTGGAAACGAGGGATTCAAAGAAAAGCTATCTGAGTTTCATCATTAAGTAGCACTAATTGGTGTTGAGTATACCAAATCTAACCTTCAAGCTTCCACAGCAAGAGCATGGTGTCTCCATTTTTGATTCGTCGTCCTCATCATGACAAATTCTGCACTGAACAAGTTTACTTGAAGGTGACATGAATTCAACGTCAATATTTAAGGAAGATATCATGTTATCTGCACTTGTTGAGGCCATAGGACGACAATTTCTGTTTTTTCTCTCAATGGTAGATTCGAGGTTTGATTCCGTGAGCAACTGATCCACCAACAGCACAAAATGTTCCCCCATTCTTCAATGACCCAGTAGACATTGGAAAGAATGAATGTCAATAAAATCATATAAAATAAGCCAAACAACATTTACAACTATGTAGACCAATTTTGTTTGATGCAGTGAACAACATCCATGACAATTCAGATTGTTTCTCAGCATAGTATAATTCAAATATCTAGCAGAAAATAAAGAAAGAATAGAAATTTTGAAACTTTTGGAGTTTACAACCCATGGGGCGATGGTGTGACGGGTAAGGTCCTTAGAATTGGGATGTCATAAGATATTGTGAGATTCCACGTCGGTTGGGGAGGAGAACGAAGCAATCTTTATAAGGGTGTGGAAACCTCTCCCTAGCAGACGCGTTTTAAAACCTTGAAGGAAAGCCCGAAAGGGAAAGTCCAAAGAAGACAATATCTGCTAGCGGTGGGCCTGGACTGTTACAAATAGTATCAAAGCCAAACACCGGGTGATATGCCAACGAGAAGGCTGAGCCCCAAAGGGGGGTGGACACAAGGCAGTATGCCAATAAGGACGATGGACCTCGAAGGGGGGTGGATTGGAGGGTCCCACATTAAATCAATTGGAGAAGGGAACGAGTGTCAACGAGAACGCTAGGCCCCAAAAGGGAGTGGATTGTGAGATCCCACATCGGTTGGGGAGGAGAACAAAGCATTCTTTATAAGGGTGTGAAACCTCTCCCTAGTAAACGCGTTTTAAAAACCTTGAGGGGAAACCCAAAAGGAAAAACCCAAAGAGGACAATATCTGCTAGTGGTGGGTTTAAGCTCTTACAGATATCCTCCTAGATATCCTCCTAGAACATGAGTTCAATTCCTAGGTAAAAAAATTACTAATTTGAAATCCTTATTGTTATCTAAAGTTGGCTTTGGAGTGGGCAAAGCTTCTCGAAGATCAATGAAGTGGGCCATGAGTATGCAAGGAATGAAATCCTGACTCCCCAGTTCTTTAAAAATTAAAAATAAAAAGAAGAGGAAAAAATCATTGAATTCACCTGAAGATTAGACATAATGTAACAATAATTATTCTATAAATAAAGAATCATAAGTTGCAGGAGAAAAGAGAAAGGAACAAAAATTTGAATGTTAAACGAGCCATGAAAAACCAAACGCTCCTTACAGTTATCCTTTTTGTCTCTTTTAGGAGGAAAAAAAGAGACATTTCACTGATACTCAAAAAGTTACATCAATGCTCTAAGCACAATTTAGTCAACTCGATTTAGTTAAAGGTTCAAACCTTGATTTTGAAAACTTAATACTCTAAAATACTTATCATCCCTGGAGATTGGTCTTCTAACAGGCAAAGCCTCCTCAAGAATTAGTAGGAAGAGCCCTATGGACTATGAACAAACTGCAAGGATTTTGCCCCAAAACTTAGTTCCTAAGACCTCCGAACAGATTCAGACGTTTGAACTCATTATTTACAGTTAAACTAATCGAGTTTTAGCAGCAATCGAACGAAAGATGTTACAAAAATTTTGCAAAAATTTAGGAATGTAAGAGAAAATGACAACTCAAATCATCAAAAACCAAGCAAGACTAAATCAATATGATTAAATGGTATAAACCAAACAAAAAGAAAACTCAGAAACCAAACCCGAAGAAATTCAAGAAAACAGCAATCCAGATCGAGAAAAGCCTAAAATTAACGAAAATGCACAGAAAGAGAGAACGGCAGCAACCTTCAAACAGCTACCAACATGATTAGCAAATGAACAAACACATTGCAGACAAAACTTATGAACAGCAGACGAACTAAGATTAAATGCAAGAGAAAAAGAGGAAACACAGATGCTTACGAAAATGGGAATAGAATTAGTGCGATAGAAGCAACAAACAATATGAGCCTTCTTTTCCTCCTGCTGCTGATTTTTGAAAGAGGAAGCAAGAGATGGAGTGTTCTTATAATTCCATTAACATTTCAAAGCAAAATTTGATAATTTCAGTAACCCAAATCAACAAACAACAGATTATTTGTAGCGAAAATGGATTGAGAGAAGCAAACAAGAATCTCTCTGTAGAATGTAGCGGGAGAAGGAAGAGCGCGAGAGATTCTTCCGGCCGCAAACCGGGGGCCCATTGGAATCAGAGAGACCACTTACTTCACAAATCCGAATCTCATCAATTTCTCCGGTGATATTTCCATTTTCTCGCCAATTTTTCGTTTTCTTCCTCCAATTTTGAAATTCTCGTTCTATTCGATAATTACGAAAATTCGTTAGTTTTTTATTTTTAAATTTTAAAAAATTAAGATTATAAATCCTATTTTCAAAATATCTATATATATTATTTGGCATTTCTTAAGGAAATAGGTTTATAAATTTTTATTTTTATTTTTAAAATTTGATTAAAATTTTTAATTTTTAATTTTTCAAATTTATCACGGAACTTTAACAAATATTTATTAGGTCTTTAAACTCTTATATATATATATATATATATATATATAATAAAATTAAAATTTTGAATACTTATTTATAAAGTATTTTAGTAATTTTTATAAAACAAAAATTGAAACACTTATTTAAAATTTAAAATTAACAAAAATTGGGTTATTTTATGAGTTTTAAAATGTAACAAGTATTTATTAAATTACCATCATTATAATGGATGAAAAGAAAGAAAATAATCATTAAATTCAGAGAAAATTAATTAAAGTAATGCTTATTCAAACTATAATTTATACCTCAACTTTATGGCAAAAGTTGACTTATCTTAAAAAATTAATTTTTCTACTTTTTAACTTTGGATTTATTTTTTAATTCTTACATATTAATAAACTATGATACTTTTTTTTGAAATACAATCATTAAAATTAATAAACTATGATACTTTTTTTTAATTACAAATTAAAATATAATGATTTTTTCTTTTTAATAATTATTGTTTAAAAATAATTATTTCTAATATGCATATATAACTAAATGAATGAGATGATTTTAATATTTTAACACGTGTATTTCATCAAAACTAAAAAATAAATAAGTAGTGAAATTAAAATGTTTTTGAAGTAAAATTAAATATTTATTCATGAAATAACCAATAAATTAAAGAACATTAATGATAATCTAAGCATAGTTCAAAGACATATGATTGAAGCTCGAGTCTGTCTCTTTCATTTATTGTTTAACTCAAGATTAACGAATAAAATTGTGAGATCCCACATCGATTGGAGAGGTGAACGAACTATTTTTTATAAGTGTGTGTAAATCTCTTCCTAACAGACGTGTTTTAAAATAGTGAGTCTGAAGGAGATACATTACGGGCCAAAGCGGACAATATTTACTAGCATTGAGCTTGGCTTCTACGAATGGTATCATAGCCAGACATCGGGCGGTGTACCAACAAAGACGTTGGAATCTAAGGGAGATGGATTGTGAGATCGGTTGAAGAGGGGAACAAAACACTTCTTATAAGTATGTGAGAGCTGACAACGATACATAACGGGCTAAAATAGACAATATATGTTAGTATGGAGCTTAAGCTTCTGCAAAAAAAACAAACACCAAATCGAACATAATTCAACGTTAGTTGGCATGTATTCTATACTGAAAATAATTCTTGAACGACCATGATGGAATTCTCGATCCTTGAAAGACGACCATCTATTTTACTCTCTTGACCATCACCTCCTCCTTCTCCATAGTTTCTTTTCTTCTTTTTCCTTCCTCACACAATTTTTTTTTTTTTGTTATCAGTTCGTCATAGTTATGAAATCGATCATCCAACGATACCAACCAACTGCTAATGTGATCGATCGACGTAACAAACTCCTCCAAAACTAACTATTGGAAGCTGATATGTTAGTGACCAACGCAGATTCAAGTCAAAAACCAAATACTAATCGATCGATTATGACTCGTAAATGGAACAAGAAGATAAAAAGCATAGTGCATCCAATATAGATCCACCACATAGCCATGAAACATGAAGGTGTCGGCAGAAGACAAGTCATCCTCTGAGGTCTTAATCGAGACTCAACTCTTTTCTCTGAAGCCCTCAAACAAAGTGCAACATTTGTTCGACACGGGAGAATTCTATTGACATGAGTAAGTTAAGAGCATGACTTTGATATTATGTTAGGAATCACGACTCTCCACAATGCTATGATATTATCCACTTTGAGCATAAGCTTTCATGGTTTTGCTTTAGGCTTCCCAAAAGACCTCGTACCAATGGTGACATAGTAATCCTCACTTATAAATCCATAATCTTCCACTAAATTAGCCAACGTGAGACTCTCTCCCAACAATCCTCAACAAATAATGCTCGGTATAACAGTATAAATAGAAGAAGATGATTCCGATGTCAATGAACGTTAATAAGATTAAAGCGAAAACTAATTTTTGTCTTAAACTTTGGTGAAAGTAATGGAGATGTACAAAATTTAAACTTATTAAACATAATTTTGTAATTTAATCTAAAATCATATTATCTCACTTGTGAATTGTTAAGAAAATCTAAGATTAAAATTAAATTAATTTAGAATATGAAGACAAGAATAAACGACATATATATATAAAATTGAAACGTAGAGAGTTCTTGATCGAACTGAGCCTCATTGAAGGGACTTCGTGTGTTTCGGATGCAAATTATTTAGCGAAACAACCGCGGGTGTTTGAAGGTAAGAGTTATATGAATTTCTTCAGATCGAACCTCCTTGCTTCTGCATTTAAATCATCTCTGATTCACAAACCCACCTTCAAACCCACCATTGATCTTTCAATTTTGGAGTTTCATATGAAGCAATGTCAGAACATCAAGCAATTCGATCAAGTTCTATCTCAGATGCTTCTAACTGGGTTAATAAGAGACACTTACGCCGCAAGCAGACTAATCAAGTTCTCAACGGAATTTCCCTTCATTCACATCGATTACACTCTCCGAATCTTCAACCTGATTGAGAACACGAATTGCTTCATGTGGAATATGATGATGAGAGCTTATATTCAAAGAAACTCGCCGCATTTTGCTTTGAGTCTTTACAAATCGATGTTGTTCAAGTATCTGGAGGCTGATAATTACACTTACCCGCTTCTGATTCAGGCTTGTTCAATCCGTCGGTCAGAATGGGAAGGAAAACAGGTACATAATCATGTTATGAAGCTGGGTTTTGATTCAGATGTTTATGTTCAAAATACTTTGATTAATTTTTTTTCTGTTTGCTCGAATATGAGTGATGCCCGCCGGGTGTTTGATGAAAGTACTGTTTTGGATTCTGTGTCATGGAATTCAATTTTGGCTGGGTATGTTCAAGTAGGGAATGTAGAGGAGGCTAAGTGTATGTATGATCAAATGCCAGAGAAGAGTATAATTGCTTCGAATTCTATGATTGTTTTGTTTGGCAACAAAGGACTAGTGGTTGAAGCGTGTAAACTGTTTGATGAAATGCCTGAGAGAGATATGGTTACATGGAGTGCCTTAATTGCTTGCTATGAACAAAATGAGATGTTTGAGGAGGCTATGAGAACATTTGTAGGAATGCATAAATTTGGTGTAATGGTGGATGAAGTTGTAACAGTTAGTGCTCTTTCTGCTTGTGCAAACTTACTGATTGTCAATATGGGGAAATTGATCCACAGCTTGGCCTTGAAAATTGGAATTGAATCTTATATAAACCTTCAAAATGCTTTGATTCATATGTACTCGAAATTTGGGGATATAACGGTGGCACGAAAACTATTCGATGAAGCCTACTTGCTAGACTTGATATCTTGGAACTCTATGATCTCGGGGTATTTGAAATGTGGTTTAGTTGAGAATGCCAAAGCCATATTTGATTCCATGCCCAAGAAGGATGTTGTGTCATGGAGTTCTATGATATCAGGCTATGCACAACATGACCTTTTTTATGAGACTCTCACACTTTTTCAGGAAATGCAAATGAACGGCTTCAAACCAGACGAGACCACGTTAGTAAGTGTGATATCTGCATGCACTCGCTTGGCTGCCCTCGAGCAAGGGAAGTGGGTTCATGCTTATATAAAAAAGAACGGTCTCACTGTTAATGTTATTCTAGGTACAACTCTCATAGACATGTATATGAAGTGTGGATGTGTTGAAAGTGCCTTGGAGGTTTTCGACGGGATGGTTGAGAAAGGGGTTTCGACTTGGAATGCTCTAATTCTTGGGTTAGCTATGAATGGGTCGGTAGAAAGCTCGCTTGAGATGTTTTCTAATATGAAAAAAGGTCATGTAACACCTAATGAGATCACATTTGTGGGAGTACTTGGTGCTTGTCGACACATGGGTTTAGTAGATGAAGGGCGGCATCATTTTCATTCAATGATTTATGATCATAAGATAAGACCCAATGTTAAACTCTATGGGTGCATGGTTGATCTTCTAGGGCGTGCAGGTAAGCTTCAAGAAGCCGAGGAGCTTCTCAATCGTATGCCGATGACACCAGATGTTGCTACTTGGGGTGCCTTACTTGGGGCATGTAAGAAACATGGTGATAGTGAAATGGGAAGAAGGGTTGGGAGGAAGCTGATTGAGCTTCAACCTGATCATGACGGGTTCCACGTGTTGTTATCGAACATATATGCTTCGAAAGGGAAATGGGACGATGTTCTTGAGATTAGGGGCATGATGACAAAACATAGAGTTTTAAAGACTCCTGGTTGTAGCATGATTGAAGCAAATGGAGTCGTTCACGAGTTTCTGGCTGGAGATAAAACGCACCCCGACATGGATGCAATTGAGGACATGTTAGGTCAAATGGCTATGAAATTAAAGCTAGAAGGTTATACACCTGATACAAATGAGGTTTTGCTTGATGTTGATGAAGAAGAGAAGGAGAGTACTCTGTTTAGACATAGTGAGAAGCTAGCCATTGCATTTGGCCTTATTAATATTAGTCCACCAACACCAATCAGGATAATTAAAAACTTGAGGATTTGTAATGACTGTCACACTGCTGCAAAACTAATCTCCAAGGCTTTTTGTCGTCAAATCGTGCTGAGAGATCGACATCGCTTTCATCACTTTGAACATGGAATTTGTTCGTGCAAGGATTACTGGTAGCTCATGAGGATTCGTTTTACTTGAACAACTTGATTCTTTGAGATTATTTTGGCAGCACTTCTCTTGATCTTCACTGGACTGGTAACTCATTTGTCTCTTTGAGGTCTTGCAAGCCGCAGCTCACGAAGATGGTTTCGTTTCATATTTCCAAAGAGGGTGAACAGTTTGCTACAAACTCTACCATGGATGGTTATTGGTTCAAAGGCTGCAGCATGATTAGAACGTAACGGGCAAGGATCGGTTGAGAATGACCGCCTAGAGGTATACTTCTGCCCCGTTTATAATAAATATGAGAGCCTGTAGAGACATAGTATGGAGTACGAGTCTTACAAGATGATTATAACGGCTCAAGCCCACCGCTAGCAAATATTGTTCTCTTTGGGCTTTCTCTTTCGAGCTTCCCCTCAAGGTTTTTAAAATACAGTTTGCCAGGGAGAGGTTTCCACACCCTAATAAAAAATGTTTCATTCTTTTCTCCAACCGATGTGAGATCTCACAATCCACTACCCTTCGGGGCCAACGAGTCGATTGTGAGATCCCACATCGGTTGGGGAGGAGAACGAAACATTATTTATAAGGGTGTGGAAACCTCTCTCTAACATACGCGTTTTAAAAATCTTGAGGAGAAGTCTAAAAAAAGACAATATCTGCTAGCGATGGGGCTTGGGTCGTTACAACCATCTTACTCTAGGGTGTTATTTATTTTGTTCTTTAGGATTCAATTCTAGTTTGGAACATCTGTTGTTGGGTTAGTCATTCACGACACAAAATCATATTATTAGATTCTTGGTGATCACGAGATATTATTGATATAGGCATTTTCAAGGCGGAATGGCTTTTATTATCAATCTGTAACTAAGTCCAAGTAAATAATTAATCTTAATCTTCTCTTCTTGGATTTCAGACTTAAAGATGATGATGGTTCTCTACTTCCTGAACATAAACTATGCCTTCAAGGCTACAAGAGTAGCTTCGGTTGTTTGTTTTCAACCGTAGTTGTTATTTTGGAACGCATACTTTCTCTCAATAAATAAGGTCAGATTCGACTAAACACAAGACGGGTAATTCAAAGGAACATATGCTTTGAGGATGGATATCGATGTCGTATCCATCATATGCTCGTGTAAGATTGTACATAGGTTGGGTTGGGTTGGGTTGGGCTGGGCTGTTGAACTTTTTTTGGATTAATTCAAAAGTTGGGGTTAGGTTGGGTCGGGTTATGTATTCTTTTGGATTAATTCAAAAGTTCGGGTTGGGTTAGGTTGGGTTAATGGATCTTTTTAGATTAATACATGGGCTGGTTTGATTGATAACCCAACCAAAATAGATTGGATTCTAGGGATTAAAAACTTTAATTTTTTAAAAATGTTTATTTATTTACCATTCATAAAATGAAAATATGGTTATTTATTAAGTAAAAAATAATAAAAATAATTAACTTAAACAAACTAATTAGAACGTTCATCTTGTTTTTTTACCATAAATTAACATCGGGCCGCCTTAAGTCGAAGGAGTCAACGTCCGCATACGCGACACGTGTCGTTGTGGGAGAGGAAGAGAGTGTCGGGTGGCGTTCCGGGTCACGTTCTCGGGTGCGCGCGTCGTGAGGCTGGGCCGCGAGGGAACGCGCGTTGGGCCGGGCCGATCGAATGGAGCAGAAAAGGAGTTGCCCTGTCTGCATGAGGCATCATGTGTCACCCTAGGGAGGCGAAACGTGGCGGAGTTCGGATCGACACACCAGGTATACGCGACACGTGTTTGTGGCATGAGCGACAAGGTGGGCTTACGGGCCACGCCTGGCCGGTTTCCCATTAGGCTGTGTATGGGTTGACCGACCCGAACCCAAGATCCACAGTTTCACGTTATTATTTATTTTATTATTATTATTTTATTTTTTTTTGTGAATTCGTCGTACATGAGTAACAAACAAGATTACAGAATTTACGAAGAACACTAAATGCAGAGTGCATTATTTAATATTAGTAAAATTTACAGAGCTAACAGAGAGTGAGACTTGAGAATAGTCTCACATTTTTACAGTACAAAAAAATGAGTTAGTACCAAATCAACATGAATTCCAATGTCGGAGGATTAGAAGTTACCCGTCCTCAACCATTGTTCGATATCGTTGCATTCATCAAATTCATCGTTCATGAGATTTGCGTAAAGAGCCATGTAGTTCTCATCCTCGTCCTCTAACAGAAATTCAAGATTCTCAAAATTACACCCAATTTCATGCTTATTAGGGTTAGGGCTATTCAAAGAATCAGGGGACTCCAATTCAACCAATGGCGGCACTGGAGTACTCGAATCCCCTCCCATTTGAACAACATTTTCGTACTCCTCACACGAAAACATTCCGAACAGATTCTCGTTATCAGCGTCCATGAAATCAACCATTCTACCAGCGGCTTCGATTCTCGAATCCAATCCATTCATGAACTCTCTCAATTGCTGTTCCGATAAACAATCAAGCCGCTCATCCCAGTCAGGCCACATGATTTTCCCAACCTTCTCGCGATGCTTACACATCTCTGTTACCAATTTTCTCTTCCGATCCGAGAAGTAATCACTCAAATCGAAACACTTCCGTTTCTGAAAATTACAGTTTCCGTTCTTGTAGGCATGAATCATATGTTCAACCTCGCTGCGATTCGAAGGCCAAGTGTGAAATTCCACAGAGGAAAGCGACGGATCTTCATCAGGCGCAAAGCCAGGGCCATTGATGAGAACACATGTTCTTACGTCGCAAAGCGTGGAAAGCTCGTAAGCCTTCTTCATCAAACTGTTCTTCCTCTGCTTGAACGTGGAGCATCGAGATTTGCGGTTCCTAATCAGATTGAAGCTCAATTTTCCTCTAACCATTGCTGCGAATTCCGGGAGAAGAGCAGAGAGAGAGATGAATGTGGTTTGTTAGTTTACTTGGCGCTCAAGACAGCGAGAGACAGAGGAGGCATTTAAAGGCAATGGGATCAGCGGGAGCGGAAGATCCAACGGTCCAGAAAATATTTGCTCCCAAATACTCGCGAATGTTCATTAATTATTTATGTTTTCCTTTTTTAACCTCTACACTAAAATTGTTTTAACTCACAGTTGTAATAAATTTTCTTTTTATTATACTTTGTAGTGTAATAAATTTCCTTATATTGATCCTTTTTATTTTACCGTTTGACGGAATAAATTTCCTTAATTTGATTCTTTTTTTTTTTTTTTTACCGTTTGACCGCTTTAATTACTGTATTTTTATGTATACTTAATTTAATTTAACTTTTATTTTGAATATTTGATTAAAAAAAGAAAAAATGGAAATCATCAAGGATATCAAACCCAACCAAAAAAATTGACCATCCATGAATCGACTTGAATTAGGGTGGGTGAGCTCTAATACTATTTTTCGGTTTAACCTAATCAAAAAATTATCAACTCGATTTTGGTTTTTCAAAAATTTAACATAACCCAAACCGAAAAGAATATGACCCAACACAACACAACACAATCCAAATGGTTCAATACCTTGAAAAGATCGAACCATCCAACCTAAATTGATTGGTATTATATTTCAACATACCTTTTTTTCGAAACTTTACTCCTTCATTTATAAGAGATTATTCTTATTTTTTTCTTTGATATTATCAATTTTAATAGCCTACTTAAGTTAGCGAGATACGTTATGCTATGCATTACTTAAAATACTTATATAAATTAATTGAATTTACCAAATGTGTCATATCAATAAAAGGAATTTTGAATTCGACGTAAGGTCGTAATAAGTCAAAGTTTGGGGGTAGTTTTGTCATTTCGCCTTTGGGATCAAAGGGGCTTGGGGACCTTATAAATAGAGGTGATGTGATATGACAAAACATGAGAAGGAAGTGGAGAGAAAGTGGTTGGCTTGGGAACGGCGTCGTTTTGGTGCTCATCACAAGCATGAATGAAGACTTAGCTTCCCTTTGTTGACTGTGGGTAAGGAGGAGCCTCTAAAGATTCGAGTCTCTTTTAGCTACAGTCAGCAAAGTGGAAGCTAGTGCTTTGAGTTTCAGCTCTCGACCCATTTTTCACCGCCTTTTCTTCATAGTTATAGTTTGGTACGGTTCAAATACAAAGATATGAACTTTCAATCTAAAGGTACGTGTTGATTATCGCTGATAATGAAAAATTTAATTTCTCTCTCTTAGTTTTGTAAATGAGTTCATAAATTATGTCGGTTTGTCTTCGTTCCTATCTTCCTAAGCGTAAAAAGTAAATAAAATATATTAATTAAAGTTATGTTGATTTTGACCATTTATATTTTTATTAATTTAATATCAATTAGATATCATAAAATAAATTTTATTATTTTTTCAAAGTCTCCCGAAATAATAAACACAACAGCTATAATTTTGGGAGGAAGTTCATAGTTACCCATTTAATTTTAGACTTTTCTATAATCTTTTTAATGATATTCCAATTCAAAACTTGCACCTAATAAAGATAATTTAATCACGATTTAAAATGAGAATAATAAATTATAATAACAAAACAACTTCATATAAATAATCTGTATTATATTTTATATTTATTTTTATGTAGCCACTCGTAAACCAAAAGGTCCTATGGTCTAGTGGTTAGGACATTGGACTCTGAATCCAGTAACCCGAGTTCAAATCTCGGTAGGACCTTGTTTTCATTCTTTTTCCTTTATCTATCTATTTATTTATTTTATAACTATTTTTTTTATTCCTTTTCCTTTATCTATCTATTTATTTATTTTGTAACTATTTTTTTTTTCTTTTTCCTTCATCTATCTATTTTTTTAAATCTTTTTCCTATATCTATCTATCTATTTTTTTATTTTTATCTTTTTCCTTTTATCTATCTTTTTTTTAAATCTAATTTATTTATTTTTCCTTTATTTATCTATTTATTTTTTAAAATTAAATTGAATTACAATCTATAAACTAAATTATTGGAGTAAGTCAATTAACTACATTTATGAAGAAAAGGTCCCATAGTCTAGTGGTTAGGACATTGGACTCTGAATCTAGTAGCCCGAGTTCAAATCTCGGTGGGACCTTCTTTTTTTAAAACTAAATTCCAACTTTATAAAACAATTTAATTCAAATTAATTTTAACCCACCTCTAACTAAATAATCAATCTAAATACATATTGAATTGATAAAATTTTTGAATTACCCAATTCATTAGATAAAATAGGATATTACACCATTATTACAAACAACTGTAAAGCATAAAAATAAAAAATAGGCAAAAAGATAAGGAAAAGTGTGACACCCATAACCAACATTAATCCAAAATATTGCGACTTTCATGATTTCAAACCCCTTTTTCTCTATATTTTCTACGCAAATGATTATGCTTTTGTACTTATCTTTAAGATAATCTTAAAGGCTAAAATTAAATGCCCCATTTCATTAAATTAATTGTTCTTATTTAAACCCATATGGTGCCTCTCTTGTTTATGACCCAAACCCTCTTTGGCTTTGCTTTGTGGGAAAGACAAACCAAAAATGGGAGCTCTTGATTACCTTTCCAACTTTTGCACTGTCTCATCAACTACAACAACAAGCAAACACAAGCCTATGCAGGTACACCAACAATTTGTTCACAATTTTCCCATGTTTTATGTCTTTTTGATTCATGTTACGTGTTTTTTTTTAGACGATCGAGATTAAAGTGAAGATGGATTGTGATGGATGTGAAAGAAGAGTTAGAAACGCCGTCACTTCCATGAAAGGTCAGATCATTTTGTCTCCCTCTCGTTAACTGATCAAGTTCTTACAACGTGATGTTGCCTCGGATCTTAAAAGGGTACCTTTCTGTGAGATCCCACATCTGAGAAACGAGTGTCAGCGAGGACGCTGGACCTCGAAGGGGGTGGATTGTGAGATCCCATTTCGGTTGGAGTGGAGAACGAAACATTCTTTATAAGGGTGTGGAAACCTCTCCCTAGCAAACACGTTTACTCGAAACTGTTAGAACAGCTAACCGAGTATAGCTTAATAAGTTTCGATATTTGTTCTCTGTTTGCAACCATTTAAGATATGAAGTTGAAAAATGACCCGAACATCGATCGATGTAGGAGTGAAGACGGTGGAAGTGATGAGGAAGCAACATAGGGTGAGGGTTAGTGGGTATGTTGATGCAAAAAAAGTGCTTAAGAGAGTAAAAAGCACAGGAAAAAGAGCTGAATTTTGGCCTTACATTCCACAGCATCTTGTCC